AAGCAGTCTTTTTTATGGGTATAAAAGTTATTTTATGGAACCATTGTTCTATAAATAATGGGATTCTAATGTCATATGAATCGAAAAATATATTTAATATATTGTATTTACATCAATTTAATATTTATATTTAGTTTCAGGCTTTGATCTCCAATCTCAGTTTCATGTATTTGTGTTTTTTACTCTTCATTTTTTAAAATTTTAATTAAATTATTTTTCCTTTCAAAACATTTTATGACGACCTAATCCAGATATTACATCATTCTCTAGTTCAATCATATCAAGCAGTTTTTATAATCACTACCACCATCAGTCTCAAAACATTTTCTTCCTTCTTTTACTCCTTGACATCAGCTCTCCTTCACCCTCTACCTCCCCTGTTGTGCCCCAAGAACACTCTTTCTTGTTATTGGCTCTATAGTGTCACCCATCCTTGGTCTCATTTACAAGAATAAACATTGAAACATATGTAACAGAGAGTCAAGAAGGTTACCAACGGTGACAAAATAACAGAAATAAACTCCAAGAAGACAACACAGAGAAAATATTAAAAATCAGATCAAGCACAAAATATATCAAAAGGGAAATCAAATGAGGTTTTAAGCAGTCAACTCAGATTTATCATTTTAATCCCCTATAGTCATCTCTCCAATACTCTGTGTGATAACCAGTTTATTCCCACCGCTCAGGTGTGGTTAGAGGGAAATCACCAAAGACGTATTCCCTGAGGAGATCCTGCAAGTGTATGTTGGGCTTCCACAGACATTCAGAACCTCCTGCACACCAGAATCTCACAATTTCACCTCTGATACTATTCCTTCCTTCGGATTTGGATCATATAATGTGCAGTCCTTGGATCACAGATGTTGGTGTGCTTCTTCCATGTGGGCTTAGTTGACATCTCACTTAGATGACTCCTTGTTTAAAAACAAACCTTAAGACCCCAGACACTATTCTATCTGATAGCTGGGCACCATCTAAGTTTTTCACCACCCTTTCAATAACACCCATCTCTTCCATGTTTCCTTTATGAGGACACCTATCAAGCAGGGCCATATCATAAGAACTAATTGTTCTTCGATTGAAGTTAGGATTAAGTGCAAGCCCCAAATCCATTGTGATGTGTTGTGCACCAGGATTTTCCAAAGGGAATACAGAGTCAAACTGAGTACTGACCCAGGCAACTGCTTATTGATTCAATTTGTAAAGGAATTCTAAAAACTTGACATTTAACTAATACCCTTTATGTCATAAACCTTCTTATTTATGTTCCATATTAGCATTTCACTAAATGATTCCTTTGAAATAACTTTTCCACTGACTAAGGATATTTTCCAACCATGGTTCTGTTTCAAGTTCACATTTTAGAGATTCAGAGAGAAAATGTTTTGAGAAACGATGTACAAATGCGCTTTACACAATTGATGTGTGTATGGCTTGGGATAACAGTTGTATGAGCCCCTAATAAAATGTTAAAAAAGAGAAAAAAGAAAAAAAAAAGACCAAGGGAGGATGAGCAACTGGCCAGCAGAGCATTGTAAGTAAAAGAACAAGGAAGAAAGGCTGTCTCTGCTGGCTTTCTGAGCACCCTTGTGCTTTATAGCGGTATGAGCCAGGGCTCTCAACAGGATATATACAGAAAAAGAGAGACATATTTACTTTAAGGATTTGACTCACTCAATTGTGAGGGCTGGCCAGAGTGAAATACATAGAGCAGGCAGGCTGAAAACCCCAGTAGAATATCTATTTTACAGGCTTGAGAAATTTCAATTTTGGCTTCAATTGATTGATGAGACCCACCTACATTAGGGAGGGTAATCAACACTTACATCAACTGATAGTAAGTGTGAAGCATATCTAAATGACTTCATAGAAGCATTTAGTGCAGTGATTCTCTACTGTCCTAATGCCGCGGCCCTTTCATACAGTTCCTCCTGTTGTGGTAACCTCCCCCAACCATAAAATTATTTTCATTGCTACTTCATAACTTCATAACATCAGTAATTTTGCTACTGTTATGAATCGGGTGACCCCCAGGTTTGTTCGACTCCCAAAGGGGTCGTGACCCACCGGTTGAGAACTGCTGATCTAGTGTTTTATGAAACAGTTGGGCACCATAGCCAGCTAATTTGACACATAAAATCAATGACCAGAGCAGCATAATAGTGTGACCCATGACTTAACTTCTAGGTGGAACTTTTTAAAATGCAATATCTTATATTTTTCAGCATATGAAAAATAAAAGATTTAAAAGAATGATAAATGGTTCCAAGTTTCCACGCTCCGCAGAAATACCTTAATTGCCATTATTGTCTTTGATAAGAGAATACCTATCAGCTTCCTTTCTCAGTCAGGAAACCCAACACCCTGTGATTCCCACCTCCTCTCCACTGCTTCAGAGTTACCACTGACCTTTTATTAGATGACGTCGCTAAAGAGCATTTTGTTGTCTGCTGGGAAGTTTTAAAACCAATGTCTTTAAACTATTGTTAATGATTTTAGTTTTTTTGTGTTTGTTTGTTTATGAGCAACTTGAGACCGTCTTTGTTTTCCCTCTGGATCATGAGAGTATCAAACAATTCATTAAAATATAAGGGATACCTACGCTGCTGACCTAGCTCTTCGATGTGTGAGAAATGAAAATCATGAGATGTGAGACTTGAGAATTATAAATCTAAACTTTAACAAAAATCAAACCCAACGAATATTCAAATTGGGGGAAAAGAACCCATGCAACTATGAAAAATATAACTTCTCTCTTAACATCTTGTCTCATGACAGTCCTGCATTATATCTGTATACCTTATTGTTGTAGGACAGCTTGAAAACCGCCCATAGGCATTTGCTTTCCTATTCATGATGTTAATTGATATACAAATGACATGCTATTTGAAAGTCAAATCCAAAGGTTGGGATATCGAAACACATATATGTTTATACACACACACACACACACACACACTGGACTGCTAATCGCAAGTTTGGCAGTTAAAAACCTACCAGCCACTCCATGGGAGTAAGATGAGTAAAAGTTACTCATGATATACTATGAATAATTGACTCAGGGTCACCATGAGTCAGAATTGACTCTATGGCATCAAGTTACACATACCCACACATACATATATGTATAAATATGTACATTTTCACATATACACAGAAATACATAAAAAACATACACATTCATACACATATGCATATATATGTATTACGGGGCTTCAAAATGTTTGTGGAAATGGAATGAAAAGATAATGGAATATTTCCCAAACGGTTTGAAAGGCCCTTGTATAAGTATGTATATGTCTGTGTGTACATATTTGTGAGTGTGTGTGTATGTGTTCAAACCCCCAACTCTTGCCACTCCACAAGAGAAAGAAGAGGCTGTCTGCCCCCTCAAATAGTTTGTCCAGGAAACAGTATGGATCACCTCTTTTCGGTCCTAACTGGCAGTTGGTTTTCGAACACACACCATCTCCTCCTCCTCCTTCTCCTCTTCCTCCTCCTCCTCCTTTTCCTCCTCCTCCGCCTCCTCTTCCTCCTCCTCCACTACCACCACCTCCACCACCACACACTACCACCACCACCACCACTTCCAGGTCTGAGTATCTGGGGAGAGTTAGACTCCATTAATTTTTCATTAAGTTGAGTGCTTAGTCCAATTTTTCTTTTTTAGCAAAACCAGGTTCTTCCCAGCTATTTCTGTCTTCTGACAAAGAATAGAGTTAGAAACCCATCAAATAGAATGACATATCATGTAAGAATAATCGTCATACAATATGCTATATGAATAACTGGTGTATGGGCAAATAGGAGTTAAGAAGCAGTGTGGTCTAGTAGAAGATGGGCCTACTTCTTGCCTTTGATCCAAACCAGAATGTATGACCTCAAATAAGGATGTTCATTTCCCTGGTGTTCACTTTTCGTATCTATCAAATGAGAAACTTGGGCAAAACGACCTTGACCGAGGTGTTCTTCCCAGCCCTGCATGCATGTGTTCCTTCCCTATCAGTGAGTTACTCACTGGCTATAGTTTCTGAGGTTAGTACTACTCCTGCTTCGGTGGTACAGCGATAAAATTAGCTCTTTCATGTCCTAGTGGTATGCTATGACACAGATGGTTAAAACAGACATAATGAGTAATGATCCTCTCTATGACAAAACATTAACTCTCTGGACAAACTAGTCACAATGATGATCCTTCTATTAGGGGGGCCTTTAAAAAACTATTCCTCGCGTTTTATACATTTCCTACTCCATGGCAAGATGGGCGCACAGGGTCCTGAGGTGGTCAGGGGTCAGTTGGGGTTAAAGCACTCGCATTCCAGATCTGTTCCTAGAACAGCCAGGTGGGTGAATGATTAACTGGAAGAGTAAATTGTTCAGTAAGTGAGGTGGTGAGAGTTGGCGACGACGTGGGGGTTGGGGTGGAAAGTAGCATGTAAGAGAATGGTGGAAAACTGAGAGAGGGTTGTACTGAATCACGACCAGAGAAATAGACATTGATTTAAACATGTTTGCTTATGTGTGCGCGCGCGGGCGAGCTAACATGCTCCCACAACCGCCCCCCCCACAACAGTTTTGTGATGATGCTTGTATTCATTATTAGTAGATTTAATTTTTTTCTCTTTTAGTAACACCCCTAAGTTCCTATGTTCACACACGTGTGCGTGTTGGGATGGCATGCACAGCATTTAAACCAGCACACATAAAGTCAGGAGCAAGCAATCTGGGCGATTAGTAAGACAGAACATCGAATACAGGAAGAGAAGAGAGGCAGGTCTGGGGGTAACCATGCCCCCCCGCCCCCCCCCCCCCCCCCCCACCTCCGGGAGTGGTTGGGGGCTGCGGTCTCTGGAGGAGCGGAGCCAGTCAGCTGTAACCTGCACTGCGCGGAGCCCACACGGGAAGTCTGCTGGAGAACAGCGTGCTTGCAGCGGGCCACGGGTGCACCTGCTGCATGTGATCACGGGCGCTGGAGGAGGAGGCAGCCGCCGCAGCCGCAGCCGCAGCCCTGGGGACAAGGCGGCAGCCGCCCTGCCAGCTCCTGTTCCTTCTCATTGAGAAAAGCGAGCTGGAGCCAGAGGAGGGGAGGAGACGTTCCCTGCAGAGCGGCCTCCTCTCTCGGATCCAAGGAGTCTCCCGGCCCGGCTGTGGGCTGGCTGTTCTTACGTGGCGATTCCCTGGGGATCCCCGGAGTTTGGAGGCAGAAGGGAAAAGGGAGACGCCTGCAGAGAGCATCAAAGGATGATGGGGCACTGGAACAGGAACAGGACTGCCCTTTGAAAAGATGTCACTCTACACTGAAAAGCTGCCTGGAGCCAGCGCCGTTCTTTGCCTCCCTTTGCCTCCGCTGAAAGAAGCCAGTGAGCAGAGTCCTGAAGTCTTCCTCCTGGGCTTTCGGGTCATTGTTCCTCTGTCACCTTTTCCAGAGGAATCTCAGTCCCCTCACTTCCAGCTGAGAAGACAGTTCGTAATAAAAAAGAATAGCGATCCTAATAAGCCCTGCTGCTTGGATGGGGGCAGGGTTTGCTTGCTGTGGTTCTAGCCGTGCCTGTTTGAGATGGCTGCCGAAACTTAAAACAAAACAAAAAATAAACGCATATCAGGACCTGGCAGATCAAGCCTTCGAGTTCTAGAAATTAACCCTTGCAACCTACCAAATAAACCAGCATGAGGAGTGGATGTGGGGTACTGCACAGAGCCAGGTGGTAAAGGACGCCGGGAAGTGGTTCACAACTTGGGATCTGTAGGATGCCTGAAGACCGAAATGCTGGGGGACGGCCCTCAGGTGCCTTAGCTTCAAGCCCTTTCATCCCCAAAACTACCTACCGAAGAATCAAACGGTGTTTTAGTTTTCGGAAAGGTAGGTAGACGATTTAAAAGCCCAACATCTGTCTCTAATGCTTTCAGGTCATTTACACTCCGATCATGTGGGAGCTTGCAAGCACTGAGCTCAGAATGGTGAGAGGGTGATTTGTAGGCGTCTTTGCTTCCACCTGTGCTCCCTGCCCCTTCCCCACAGGGCTCCTATCGATCTGTTATTCCTGTCGGTGAGTGGAGTGGGTTTGGTAGGTGGGGCTAAAGAAATGGAGGTCCTATAGGGATCACCTTGACTGTCGGGGAACTAAACAAGCTGACCTGACCGGTCGTCTTGAGTGGAGCGGCCAAGGCTACTTTCAGCTCTCCCCAGACCCAAGGCAAGCAGCCATGTTGGGGCCCCTGGAAGAAGGGCCCTCACAAATGCCTGCATGGTGCTCCCGTTTTGTCAGTTTTGGGTGCCGGTGTTTGCTCCCCTGCTGTGATCTTCTTCCCTGCTGAGAACATAGTGCTAATCTGGTTATCTATGATGAATCATTTTTAGGAGGCTTTCAACCTGCATGATTAACATTGGCTAGAAATAGCGGTCACCTTGCCTTTCTAAATGTATTACAGGGTGGCATTGGGAAAAGCCTATGATATTAACTATCCAGGGGCCGGTATGAGAAGATATCATTTACGGTCAATAAAGCAGGATGTTTCTGAATTGACTTGTGGTGGAAGACGTAAAGGGTACCACATTGGTAAAACAAAGTGTCTTTGGAAAATATTTCCATATCAAAATATTTTTAAATTACTCTGTGCTTTAAAGTAGGGATACTTAAATGGAACTTTTTTCAGAGTCAGGACTAGATTAATGTAATGTTAACATTATACATAGCACACTTAATCAGCAGCTGATTTGAGTAACATCCTTCTCTCTTTTTAACAAACTCTCTCTACTAGGTAACCAACAAGTAAATGAGAACAGGCAAATCATAGTGGAAACTTAAAAAATATGTTTTAACTCTAACTACACATGTATTACTTTTTTAGCAGTTAAGATGTGGATATGTATTGATGATTCTGTATGATTAGCTAGGAATTCAGTGGCTAATAGATCTTTGCATATTAGTCATAAAGATAAAACACAAGAAAACCTACGTCACATGTTTATGCCTTTGCAGGGATTTTATTGTTACTGCAAGATTGCATCATTGCACAGAGGTATTGATGATGATGGCAAAGGCTGGGAAAGGAGGCTAGGAGTAATTGTTTAGAGGACATTCCTCTCACCGTCTAGTTCCCAATCCTCAACGACCGAATTTGTTCTGTCTTAACGTGCAGGCACGGTCTACATTGGAGGGTTATTGCTATTGGCTTATAACGTGAGAGAAGTGTTTGTAGCAGAGAACAAGGCAGTTGTTACCTGAGTCCCCCTCCCCTCCCCCAGTGGTGGGGTAGGTCCCATGTTGGAGCACCGTCCATCTGCAAGCATTCTGGCTCCCACTTCTAGTCCTTACCCCCTCTTCCCTTGTTCCTGAGAAGCAGCAGGAGGGGAGGGGGTTGGCAGTGCCTATGAAGAAAAATGTCCAAGGGCTGGCAAATGACAACCACAGGGATGGGGGACTAGCTTCCATCTCTCATCTCCTCCAGGCTATTTTTAAAGCATTGTCTTTCCTCTGCAAAGCCTCAGTGATTTGGGGAATGTTCAGCATTTGAGCACAGGATTAACAGGTTTTTTTAATTGACAAAGCTGTATTCTGGTTTCTGTCAGAGCAGGGTAGGAGAGGAGGGGCAGGAAGCAGTCAGCTGTTCCAAGTTGCCTTTCATTCTCTCCAGAGCCCTGAGCCAGCCTCTCTCTTTGCCAGGGATGTGAGGCCACAGTTATGCAGTGGGGCTCTGGGAGAAAGGTGTGCAGCTGCTGTGACCACCACCAAGACTGCTATGGGGCTTTTTCAGTGCTGCCCTAATCATTCATGTCAGCTGCAGCTTTAAACAGGGATTGTTTTATCCTGGTTTAAGATCTGGCACTGTAAAATTAAAAAAAAAAAAAAAGACTCAATTCTGGGTGGAGAAACCTTGCCACCTTAAGACGAATGTGTGCTCCTGTGCTGTAGGTAAGCTTTTGGGTTCTTAAGTATTTCAAAGAGTCAACATGTGTCTGAGTTGCTCTCTGGGGCCTGTTGAAGAGCCTCAGTTAAAAGTTGTTTCCATGAAAGCAATCAGGAGATTTATGGGAAATGAGGAGAGAACCAAAGGTGAAAACTATTGATGTGTGTGCTTGTCTTGATCCACAGTTAAGACAGATTCCTCACTGTTGTCTATGGTAGACCAGCCGAACAGAGGGCTCTGCACTTCAGAAACGCCACCAGAGTGAAGGGTCCTTCTGGGTAAAAGTTTCTAGAGCTCACACACCACACAAGCTAAAGGGAACCTCTTTGAGCCCCCTTGCTCTTCCTCTCCTCTTCTGGCCTTTGTTGCCCTCTTGATCCCCCTTCCTTCTAATAAAGGCTACTGGCAATGCTGGCCCAGTAGTTTTAAAACTAAGAACTGACAGACATCCAGTAGGCAGGAAGCTGGGGATTGTGCGGCTTTGGATGGAATTTGTGTGTATTTATTTGAATACATGCACCCACTGTACGGTCTATTAGCTATTATATATGTATATCCCTTAAAAGGAGACTTCGCATACCCAGAAGGATTGTGGCTGTCACTCTTTCTTCAGTTAAAGCAGCCTCCCACAGGTATAATAACATTTACCTGTATGATTTTCTGTCACCATGCAGTGTAAAAGCATGCCCTGGGGGATGCTTTATGGCACCACCAGTGCAATTCCAGGGAAAGCAGGCATGACATGCCATCATCACTCAGAAATTCTGGAAATGGTTTTTTTCAGGAAAAATGAAACCTCACGAGGAATAGAAATGGACATACCTGGAGTTGTTTGCTTGACCCACACCACAGGGAATGTACTTGTTAATGACCTACTAATCAATTTGGCCTTTCTCCATGCATCTCTTTGGGGGCTAGCACCTGAACTTTGTGCTTTCTTGTTCCTTTTAAAATTTGAAGTAGCATTGCTTCCCCAGAGCTAAAGGAGATTTCTAACCAAAGTAGCCTTTTTAACCCTAGAATTTTTCTTCCACAACTCAGTAACTTTCCTCACAAAGAACATTTTTATGAAGGATGTTGACTCATATCTACCACTGCAAGTTTCAAGCTCTCCCAACACTATTTCCTTGGCCACGGAGTAGCAAGGATACCCATTAAAGTCACATTGATGCTGACTCATAGCAGCCCTGTAGGACTTCCCCATGGGGCTTCTAAAGTTGTAATCTTTATGGAAGCAGGCGGCTACATCTCTCTCATGGCACAGCTGGTGGGTTCCAACCACCAACCTTTTCAGTTACCAGCCCAATTAACCCCAACAGGGCTGTTAGGAGTTAGAATTGATTTAGTAGTAATGAGTTGTGAAGTACAAATATACCTACTATAATCTCTTACTGATTCTTTGTAAGATAAATTCTAAAGCAGAAGACTCTCATTTTCTCCCATAGGAATTTCTAAGCATATATAAATATTGGCTCTATGTGTTAGCATTCTTGCATGTTACCATTGCTGTAAACACTTGGTTCTTTAAATGAAGGAAATCATTTCCTTAGGCAACATACTTCCTGAACTTCCAGGGTTTCCTCCTTTTTCTTTTCTCCCCACGGATAGCTATTTTCTCAGCTGCAACTACCTGTGCTCATATGCTGAGAACTGAGGTCAGAAAAATAGCACATGGCAGGTGTTGACCTCTAGCTCAATTGTTAACTATGATGCTCACTCTGTACAGTGGATGTACAAGGGCTCTGTGATCAAACAGCTTAGAATAATGAGTGCACAAATGAAACAAATGTTCTAAAATTGTCTGTGGTGATGGTTATACACTTCTTGGTGTGATTGAACTGTTGAATGGTATGATATGTGAATGATATGTCCATTAAACTACTGGGGGGTAGGGGGGGACAACCAAGAATGAATCCTCACACAACTATTTATTAGCTGTGTGACCTGTCGGTTACTTAAACGTGCTGTGCTTCAGACTCATTGGTAAAATGGGAACAATGTTGGTGCCTACCTTCTAAGTCGCTATTAGTTTCCACAGAGAAAATTAGAGTCTCTCTTAAAATTTAAAGCAAAGAATCATATTGTAACAAAACCAAAGGATTTAAACAAACAAAAACTCAGGATCCGCGATGAATCTAGGAAAACTCAGATCCCTTCAGCATTGGTTGTTTAATTAATTACAGCGCTTCAATTACTTTAATGGCTCGTTAATCTATGGCTATCTTGGAGCCAATCTGAGTAAGCATTCTTTCTAAGGGCATGCTGTGAGAAGAAGGGAGGGGTGCCCACAAGCTGCCTGAGGTATTCTGGGTAGACTTTGGAAAGTCAGCTCAGAGTGAACAGTGAACTACAAAATGGAATTAACTTACTTCCCAGATAGAAGCCTTTCTTTGTGTCAAACACTTAGATCTCATGATATCCTTTATAATATGCCCCCTTTTGGTCAAGAATATCTATACAAACTTTAGAATAGTCTTTCAAAATCCCAGGCACAATCTATGAAGAGTATATGGGTACCACCGGTTCCGTCTTTGCCATGGCATAACTTGGTCCCCCGCTTCTGTGAGAAAGATGTATAAGAGCAGAGCCAAATTGGTAGGGATAGTTGGCAGAAGTGAAGACCTGAACTATAATCTAAGGAACAGTGTTTCTTCAGAATACATGATCCTTGAAATTGTAAGAGGCATGTGGATATCAACACTGGATATCAATATTTTTTGTTTGCTTTAGATGAACTTGTTTGTCACTAAAGACTCCAAGTCCACTTCAGTTTTGCTTTCTACATTTGATATCTACATTGAATCAACATTTCATAAAGTAGTCCATTGTCGGTAATATTGAGCCTAACCAGGAACCAACTCTATTTGGTAACCCACTAAAAATACCAAGAAAGAGAAATGGGACATGGGTGGTGTGGTAGTCACCTAATCTGGTGTCAATTTAAGGATTGAA